TGCGGTCCTACATGACGCAATTTTTCTTAATTGCGTTTTAACCTGCAATTTCTGATTTTTTTTTTCAAAAATATCTCCCGAATCTAAATTTTTACTCATTTTTTCTAAAATTATTTTCAATTTCATCATCAACCTATTTCTTCCTAATTTTATATTAAATAAAAATTTATAAATTTAAAAATTATATATATTTTTTTAATTTTAAAATTAATTCCGAACTAAATTCGGGACTCGGATATTATATTTATATTTTATATAAATGTATTAGATTTACATAGAATCAAATGCGTCTCAAATTTATCTTATTATTATCTATAGTAAAAAATAAAATACACTAAATGGTACTAATGCCGAAATTTCACTTTCATGGGATAACTTGTCTAGTATCGCCTATATATAATTTTTTCTACACTCTAACGTAAGCTTTTGAAAGTGCTTAGAAAAAGCTCCTTACCTAAAAAAAAAAAAAAGGAAGGTGCTCAAAAAGCAGTTTGGTAGTTATGGAAAACCTTGTCTAGAAGGAAAGATCTAAGAGAATTCCCTTGCAGCCACGGCAACGCCATGAATTTAATGCAAAAAGTTGGAAGTCGGTCGTGTGGTTGGCAAATCATTTTCAGTACTGTGTTTTCGAAATTCCATGAACTTCCAAATTAATCCATATGCACCAAAATGGAAACAGTCACATCAATCCATACACACCCTTATTATAAAATGGCATACCCATTACCACCTTTTCCTTCATCATCAAAACCCTTCTTCTCTTCTTCTTTCCCTCAATGCCCATTAAGTTTCCTCTCTCTGTAAGTTTTTGTTGAGTAGATAGATGGATGTTAGGAGATTCTCCATTGAAGTAGCACCGCTACGGTTCATCTCTATCAAGAGGAGGCCATTGGTGAAGATAATGGATACTATTATGGAGGAAGATTGATAGAGATTGTTCTTGCTCCCTATAATGGCCTCTATCTCTTTTCTTTTTCTTTACTCTCCTTTCTTTTTCTTTTACTTCTTTTTTTCTAATTTTGGAGGCTTGTATTTTGGTAAAGCTTGTGTGTTATTATCAGAGATGGAGGTGCCATTTTCTGCATGTTGGAGAGAATGGCTTGAAGAAAGAAATAAGTAGAAGTTCCATGGAAAATCTGGATAATGAATAAATAAACCCTCAGACGTTTTCTTTGTTAACTATTCCTTAACTGGATCGTTGGAGTTTTTTCATAAGAAATTGAAATTTTGAAGCACTTTCATATGTTTTTATTAAAATATTATGTTATAATTATGAGCAACGGGCGCAAGATAATTTGTTTTAATTAAAATGCTGTGTTTTGATTAAGGTGTATATATTATCTAATTAATAAAAAATATTTTTTTTTTTCTTCACTGTTATTTATATACATAACATATAAATAAATTGAAGGTTTTTTTTTTTAAAAAAATAGATAATTTGTTTTCATTAAAATATTATATTATGATTAATGCGTATTGTTATTTAATTAATAAAATATAAAAATTTATTAAAAATATAATTTTTTTTTCTTTCTCTAAACTTAAGGCCATCTTCTGTGCAACACTGGTGAGGTGGTTTGTTTTCATTAAAATAAACATTGTATTATAATTAAAAATATATATAAATTTTATTAAAGAATATAAATTTTTTTCTTCTCTGTTGTGTATATGCATAGCATATAGACATAAACTTAAGATCAATCTTGTGAGCAACAAGTACGGAATAATCTATTTTTATTAAATTATTATGTTATGATTAATGTATATGTATCATATAATTAAAAAAATATGTAATTTTTTATTAAAAATTGTAATTTTTTTTTTCTTCTCTGTTGTACATATATGAAGTAATCTTGCAAAATTTCAGTTAACACAAATTTATTATTCGAACTGGAAAAGAAAAATACAAATTTTCACTAGTTCTAGACTATGTTTAGGATGAAGGGCTCTTATTCATGAAATTCATTGTGAATTTCTACATAAAATGATGATAATAGTTCTTAAAAAATAATTTCATAAAGATTTTAAGAGGAATTGATGCAAACACAACTAAATTTTATAGATCATATATTGCTTAATTAGTTTCCAATTTGTATTGTTTGAATTTCCTTTAGAATTCTCTGATAAATAGTCTTTTATCATTTCAAATTTGATATGAACTCTATAATTTGGATCATGTCCAGGAGGAAGTGATCAATAACAATTTCAATTTGAAGCATGCGAGTCAATATGACCTCAAATTTGTTTGGCAGTGTAATAACTATGACCTGAAATCCAGTACAGTCACCGTATAAGACAAAACTGAACTTTTGATCTCCATTTCTTTTCTTCAGTTAGATATTACATTGTATTTTCTGCATTGTATCTTGAGGAACTTAAGTGTTCACTCTTTACAGATGACAAATTGAGATATTAAATATATACAGCACAATAGCTTACAACAATGGACCAAGTGACTGCAACCTTGTTAACACCCTGCACTCCGAAATAAATTGCAGCGGAGGGAGCTCATCGATATTATACCTGCAAAGCAATGTCAACCACCGATCAACGGCACCGTGCATCTTTGCTGCGGATGCATTGATTCTGTCAGGAATAACAAGCAACCCATTCTTTAACTAGCCGCCTCTATACTCCAATGCCAACCTCTTCCAAGGCAGCTGCCATTGAAGCTGATGCCTCTTCAAGGGTTCGCTTCTTCTGAACTGAGTTGAAGGCCTCGATGATATCTCCTTCTTCCCAGTTGTCATAGTCTTCCATCCCAATACCGCACTCAAGTCCAGCATTTACCTGTCCGAGGAAATAAACATGAGAGAAAAAAACAGAAAGCATGTCGATGCTAAGAATAATTGGTAAAAAAAAATTCTTATAAAGCATTGTATTCATATTCTTAACCATTATAATTGTCAGAGCATATACTATAGGTGGTACTTTATCCCAATTAAGGAATTGTATATAAATGTCGAAGCACATCACGCCAGCTTCAAGGTGGAAAATTCTTCAAAGCCTTATAGTGACAACTGCCCCTTTCACTACTGGGGCAATTGTAGGCAGTAGCCTGTATATAGTCTCATGAATGGGCTGAGCTAAGTTCTAGTCAGGTCCAATGTAGCAACGTTGTCCTAAATTGCCTCCTATAAAAATAAATTGTTCTAAATTGCCATTAGATCTCTATAAAGTACAATCCAGATGTGCCCTTGAAGTTCAGCTTTGACTTTTGACTCCACGTATGCCTTCTTATTTTTAAGTTTAACCCCTCCCAAAACACCGGTGAAGCTCAAGATCCAGAAGTTCAGTCCTGCTAGTTCACACTTTATGTCGCAATTGAAAGTTTATAATATTAAGCTTTCCTAAGTTTTCTTTTTTTTTTCTTTTGCAATTTGATTTTCCATGACAGGAAAGATTCACATATTTCCAGATGCTGTCCACATAATTCTTCCTACAAGCCCCTTATTCTTCTAAATTTAGAAATAAATTTCTTCCCTAATCCATGAAGCTTTTATTGTTTCATAATTGGTACTTGCATAAATGTAACATGCTTATTTTCTGATCAAAAGAAAAAAGTGATCCCCATACAACCATACCTCTTTCACAACTTCCTTAACCCGCCTCAAAGAATCAAGTACACCAACATAGACTGTTTTTCCATTTCGAATAACACGAATTCCACAGCCTTTCACCACTTTTCCCTCTGTTATTACACAACCAGCAACACGACCACTTCCACTGCTGAATGTAGCTCGAACTTGTGCTGAGCCAATTGTTACTTGTTCCTAAAAACACCAAGCAGTAAATCTTGAATAAATAAAACTCTCAATGGAATTATTATTATTATCATTATTATTTTGAAATAAAAAGTGAACTCTCATTGGATAATGAAAATCATTATATGCATCAACAAGGAAAATCTCCAAACCCGACGAGATCATAGCTTTACATATTTATGAGCAATCGTATACACCCTTGCCCTTCCCCTGCTCCACAGCAAAAGAGAAAGACAAAAGAAGATAACAGAGCTTTGAGAAATGACGTCTCAAGCCAAAGAAGCCAAACTGAAAAATTAAGGCCTCGAAATAGCAGAAGATCAAATATATGAAAAGGTCATACGATATACTCATGGACTTAATAGAGTATTCAGCCTGATAAAAACAGGCAGAGAAAACTGAGATACGCAACTAACATCAAGTGGTTGGAAGTAAATATAAACCGAGTTCAATCACTTCACAAAACCCAGGCAAAACAGGAAGAAGAAGAAAATGATTATGCAAGCGAAGGAGCTAGATGGTAAAGCCAGATTCCATCTCAAAAACTTTGGAGGTTAACATAAATTGGCCGCAGACAGACTGATAATATCCTCATGGTTGAAGCCAGAAAAATAAAAGCTTTAATATGCATTCCTGCAGCCTAGACCATTTACCAGCTGCTCAATTAGATTAGACAAACTGAAAATAATACATTGAACTAACCTCAACAGGCTCTAGGAGTCCTTCCATTGCATTTCGTACATCATCAATAAGTTCATAGATAACTCTATATAGCCGAATCTCTACGCCTTTGTTGTCTGCATAGCTCTTAACAGAACCTGGTACTTTGACGTTAAATCCAAAAATAATTGCTTTGCTAGCAACTGCAAGATCAACATCACTGGCACTAACATCGCCAGTTGCTTCAAGGAGAAACTTCAAGGTTACATTATCTTGAGGGAGCACCTGCAAGGCTTGCCTGACAGCTTCAATGGATCCCTATTCATGAACAGGAGAATACAAATTACTTGCAGGAAAACTTTGAATAATTTTATTGGCACATATATATTAGTTGACACAGTAGAGAGGTCTATGAACTGCATAATACATATGTCTTTATTACGATGCAAATATGCAATAGAACATGCTGTAGAACGAATGCATGATAATCATGTAATTTCATTTCAAGATGGAAGGTAGAAAAACATGTAAGTCAAACATCCATACCTACTCAAACAAATATAGATTTTTAAGTCAACTCACAAAGCAAGCCAATTGTATTGGAATTCCCTTTAACAGGTTAATAAAAATGGATATGCTTACCTGAACATCAACCTTCATAATAATATTAAGCTGGTGCAAATCCAATCCAGACAGCTTTCCTGCCGAAACTGCAGAAGCTAAGGAAGAAAGTGTGACCTTTCCATCTCCAGCCTTGGCTGATATTCGTTTGTTCCGCAACGACTCAGCACGTGCCTCTGCCCTTTCACGTGCCACATCAATGGAATCAACAATTTCAAATTCATCACCAGCAATTGGAACATTATTCAATCCAATAACCTGCAAATATGTGCCATGTCTTAGTGGAATTTCTATGCAAAATCATGGAATAATGAAAAAAAGTAAACTAGAGGGATTCAGTTTTATTGAGAAAGACCTGCAGGGTGCACATGGATGCAACCTGTTCTTTGCAGTTGGATAGGACAGAGTGGGAGAGATGAGCAAAGAGGAAAGAACTAAGCTCTAATAAAGTAATACCTAAACTACCAGCCACAACAAAAGAATGAAGCCAAGCAGAGTTGACTACTAGATGCAGTGCCTGATAGATGGATTGTACCTAGTCTTGACGAGAAATCTATCAGAGTTATCCTAGCATGTCATTCAAATCGGAACTACCTAACATCACATGAGTTGTCAGCTATCCTTTATTAGTCCGCTCGAAGGATAAAAGAGGGAAGAGGCATGTTCGCTAAATTTCACAAATAACAAAACAATTTGAACCTTATGGATTAATCACAATCTAGCATGATCTTAAGCAAATATTAAAAATTTATAACCAATCATATGACTCTATTCAATTTTTGTATTCACTTTAATTTAGTTTGGACCGAATTTAATCAAATATTTAGATTTTTTTATTTAATTATAAAATACAAAATTTACCCAATTTACTTAAGAACAAGTTTTTCTTTAGTTGTCTATAATATTAGTATAGATTTCTTTAACTATTTTAATTTTCAGTGTTCTTTCTTTACAACTTATATCCGGAGGTCAGTAAATTTTAATTAATGAATATATTTCAAATCCTAATCCTTCTTATACATGTTGTCATATCTCAGAAAAATCCTTTTTACACATGCAGCATCAGTTCATGTATGTAGGTAACAATGTTGGAAACTCCATGATTCTTAAATATACCGTTCATATAATCCCTTCACCAAGTAAACATATACGAGAATATATGGAATTCCTCATCCTTCAATAATTGAATGACCAAAACTTTGCTTCCTGATGCAAAGTTTGTCTTCTACTTCCTAAAGCAAACCCACATTTGGAATGCTAGAGAAGTAAACTGATGAACTTTCTTTATATATCAACTCACAAACTAATGAAAAGGATGTCTGAAGATAGGCGGAGATTCTAAATAGTTCCAAACCCAACTTTCATTATTATGTAAATTCTAGGCATTATACATATCTCAATGGTTCATATAAGGCTCTAGAAAGAATCAAAAGGCAATGTGTTCCAAATGCTAGAGCTACTGTGAAGAATGGAATTATAGCATGTCCATATATGCGATGAAAGAGAGAACCAAGTTGCACCATTATAGATGCAGATGTAAGCACACTTCCATGAGGTTGAAAAAGAATGACTGCTTCAAGGGAAGGGAAACAAAAGAGACAGAAGAGAGAACAGATCACTTCTCTAGACGGCTTTCTCTCTCAAGTTTCTGATGGTTTCCAATTCATTTTCAGAGAACAAAGATAATGTATTATTCTAGCCACTACATCTGCACGAGCTTTTTTTCTGCCAGTTTTCCATGTTAAAAGGAAATAAATGGCAGTGGCATTGACTGGTAAAAGGATCTTATTATATACTTATCCCATGAAAGTGGTTTTTTTTAATCTCAAAAAATGAAAGTGATTTTTCTTCATTTCCTTTTCCTTCCCTGCAGACAGTGTCACAGGATACACGCTACACGATAAAATTAATAGCTCGGAAGGACCACTTATCGAGTTGTTGCTCAAATTCAAACTTTATTGTTCATAAAGGTCCCAGTGAACTGGGGTAAAAGTTTCCAGAGAAAATTTCCGAATCTAGGTTTTTTGATAAAGGATCATCCTCTTTATAGTTATGAGAACATAGGGGACTTGATTAATATGTGGTAGACTGTTGTGTTCCTTGAACCAAGATCTTGTCACTGGGCGATTGACTGCAAAGTCTTCTTCCCTCAAGGGTTAACACCCTTGTTTTTTTCCTGCTACGACCTATCTTTGAGAATACCTACAACTCATCAACAGGGAGCTGTCACCTTGAACCTCTTAGGAAGATCCCACCTTTTTAGAGTATAAATTTTGACTTAATTTATTGATAGAGTAAAGCCTCTTTAAATAGAGGTTGCATAGCCTATTAGGAAGCTTAACTAGATAGGAAATAATAAACTCAAAGAGGAAACAACTACTGAAAATAAAAGTCTTACACTATTAAGGAAACCAGCTAGTATTGAAATATTTCTAATTATAAAATCCCCTCTAAGTTGCCTTTTATGCAGCTTTTTCCTTAAAATGCCTACCATAAGCTTTCCCGATGAAAGCATCCACAAAATTACTCCCCGCCTGATCAACAAGCTTGTCTCAAGCCTGAAATGAGGAAAGGATTCCTGAAATTGATCCAGAGTCTCCCAAGTGGCATCATCTGGTGAGAGACCAGTTTATTGTACCAAGAGTTCTGTTTTGCCCCGGTTAAGGCAGGAACGAAGTACCGATTGAGGTGAAATATTCCTAACCAGAAACTCTAAGTTGCCTTTTATGCAGCTTTTTCCTTAAAACGCCTAGCATAAGCTTCCTGATGAAAGCATCCACAACAGACTTGTAAAGCTTTTGTATCTCTTGTTTCTTTGTAATACATCACTTTTTTCCTTTAAAACAAAATTAAGGGTTGGGGGTTTGCATGGAGCAGTAACCCTCCATCCAGAAGTGATGATCAATCATCATTTTGTCCTGGTATGATAATTTTGGTTCACTAGAGAGTGCAGCAGACAAAGCCCTGCATTTGAGCCTGCGGTGGTTTCTCACAAGGAATATTGTAATTTTGAGTTTTCTCCTTCCCATACATAAAGGAAGAAACCTAGTTAAGAGTGGAGATCTTCAGTAGTGAAAAATTTCTGCTGGTGGCTCGTGGAGTAAATGTTGTTGAACTATAGTAAAAAATTTCTGCTGGTGGCTCATGGAGTAGACATTATTGAACTAAGTTAAAAATTCCTGTGGGTCTTTCTCTCTACCTTTAATCTAATCTGTGTGTGGATATATTTTTCGCGCATCTTTTTGCACAATGAATAGTAGATACATAGAATAGTTAGATATCAATACAAAATAGAAGCAAGAAGAAAAAAGACTATGAACTAGAAACCTGCACAGGTATTGATGGCCCAGCTCCGTCAACACGATTTCCACCATCATCAAACAACGCCCGTACCTGAACATGGCCAAAACAAATAGTCCTTCAAGATGGGAACGTGCAAATATCAAGAACTGTAGGTTAGATTAAGCTGAAAAATTAATCTTGGATTAAATATCAGTATAAAATTGTTCCAACCTTTCCAAAGGCTTCTCCACAAACAACAACATCCCCTCTCTTAAGTGTGCCATTCTGCACAATAAATGTAGCTACAGCTCCTTTAGATTTATGAAGACCTGCCTCAATTGCTGTACCCTTTGCATTTCTATGAGGATTAGCCTTCAAATCTTGCAACTGAAATAATTTCCATTAGGTCAGAGTATGTGGCCAGCAGGCAATAAATAAGAAGAAAATGAAGAACAGAAGGGAATACAAAGAAACTTGAACACATTAGGCAAGAACTATTTTATTCCTGAAATATACATCAATGCAAATTGAAATAATATTTTTAATTTTGCCTATTTCTAAGCATGAACATGAATGTCCAAGGAGGAAAAGATTCTTCAGAATGAATTTGCACACACATACATGCATATTTCTAAGCATGAACATGAATGTTCAAGGAGGAAAGGATTCTTCGGAATGAATTTGCACGCACATACATGCATATGGCTATGGGAGTGGTTGTTCTCCTTGCATTATCAAATCACAAAAAGGTGACTACTGGCTCTTAGTCCAGATGGTTACTTCTTCCCCTTTTACAAAGAGGGTGAACATTCTAATTTTGCTGAGTGCGTACTTCCAGTACAGAATTCCCATATAGGCAAAATAAAAAGTCACAACAATGATATCTAATGCAATCACAAATTCATTTAGAACACTCGAAGATATAAAGTGATCTGTCCCAACTCCAAAGATCTCAGTTAGAGAAAACAAAGTCTTCCATAAAGAAAGTAACAATCCAAAAGGTAGAAGATAAAGATATTGAGCACTCCAAATTCTGATTGCCAAACCAACAACAAGCATTGGCAAACTGCAATTTTTTATGCTAATAGCAGGCAAAAAGAGTCAACATGTTATCCATGGAGATAACTTTAACGCACCTCTGCAACAAGCATAACAGTTTCCAATAAATCATCTATATTCTCCCCTTTGAGTGCGCTAATCTGTTCAAGAAAAAAGAAAACGTTAGCACCCTGGAAAAGCAAAAAAAAAAAAAGAAGGATTGGGAAAAAAAAGGAAAAAAAGTAAAGAATAAAGACCTGGACCATTGGGATGTCACCACCCCAATCTTCAGGCATCAGACCAATTGAAGAAAGCTCTTGCATCACTCGTTCTGGACTAGCACCATCTTTATCTATCTGGCATGATAAATAGAATAAGATTGAGTCATCAAGAACTGAGGCAAACAGACAACAAGAAGAATTTATAAGCACCGGTAGTTTACCCACTTTACACTGGCTTCAAAAAATCTTTTTGAATTTTTTTTTCTGATAACAGAATAATTTGTCAATCTGTTTTTACATACCTTGTTTATAGCTATTATAATTGGCACTCCAGCTGCTTTAGCATGGGCGATGGCCTCATTTGTTTGAGGACGAATCCCATCATCAGCAGCCACTACAATGATAGCAATGTCCGTAACCCGTGCTCCACGAGCTCTCATTGCCCCAAATGCCTACAGGAGCGCATATTATAGATATCATCTAAAGGCAGAAAAGTTCAAGCAAGTTACAGTTCTCAACTGAGTTTATAAAACAGCAGAATAGCAGAAGACAATAACCAGATAAAAACACAATTGAGTGATGAAGTTTTCCTCTTTGGAAAATAACATGGAGAAGTTAAGTATTTTTGTGAAGTTTACCTCATGCCCAGGAGTGTCAAGGAAAACACATGGTTGTAACTTGCCATCAACTGGCACTAGCACCTTATATGCCCCAATTCCTTGTGTAATTCCACCAGCTTCTGAAGCAGCCACCTGGACAACGGCAGCCATCAGACTCCCTTTATAACATGCATGAAATGCTAAAAACAACTGCATATGGGTTTTACCATATACCAACAAATTTACAATCCTTATGTAAACAATCATTCCACGACTTCACCATAACAAGTTTCAATCCTTATGTAAACAATCATTCCATGATACCATGTAAAGGAAAAAGAATTGAAAAAGGCCAAAATCACCTATACCAACAAATTTATAAGACCATATGGATACTCCAACCATCAGTTGAAAACAATGAACAAGAGTATTGAGATAGTTAAGTGTTCCATACCTTGCTCTTTCGAATGTAATCCAGAAGAGTTGTCTGCCAATCAAAAAATAAGAAGCACATTTTAGAAAATTACTTTGCAGAAGTGCCATTAACTTTTTGTAGGAATTAAGATGAAACAATACAAAACATTTAACTCAAAAAGAATTTGAAGAACATGAATGCCTACCTTCCCATGATCCACATGCCCCATTATAGTAAGGACAGGAGGCCTGTCTTCTAGCTTGTCCAAGTCTTCGTCATCAAGAATTTCCTTCTTTTTTGCCATTTCTTCTACTCGAACTGGATCGACCTCAAGAACTTCCACATCATACTCTTTACAAACCATCTTAACAATGTCTTTGTCTAAAGTTTGCACCCCATCTGGTTTAATTCCTTTTGAATATAGATACCCAAGAATTTCACCTTCACTGATAGCCAGATTGTAAGCCAACTCTTCTATCAACATACCATTTTCTTCTACCTCCAAAATTTCTACTTTAACAGGAGCCGCATCTTTGGCAGCCTGGAGTCTCGCTGCCTTCCTACTAGCTTTACTCCATTTCCTCCCTTTCCTAGCTGTAGCTGCACCAGGAATTTTGACATTCAGCTCTGATGTCTCTTCATCGGGAATCTCAATGTCCTCATCATTGATAATCCTCCTCCTTGGGCCTCCAGCTGAAATGTTTTTCTTCCTATAATCATCCTTGAACTTTCCAGGGGTAGGGTTCTTCCCTGGTTTTGTAGGTGCTAAAACAGCCTGAGCAATCAGTGGATCAACCACAGGTTTCTTTGATGCAAATTTGTCTATTAAAATAGGCTTCCGTTCTTTAGTTTTCGTGTCAGAATCTGACTCATCTGTAACTAAAGACTTTGAAACTGCCCCCACATCTTTCAAAACAGGTTTCTTTATTGCCGGCGGAGGAGCTACAGATGGCTTTCCTTGTAACTTTGGTTGAGGTCTCAAAGGTGGTTGAGGGGGTCTAAATGGTTGAGATCCCACTTTCACATCTCCTCCCACCTTAGGTTCCTCTTTCACAGCCCCGTTATTAACCTTGGGAGACTCACTAACAGTCTTTTGAACTGATGCAACTGTGTCCCCTTTCCGCCATACACTCTTCAAAGTCTTAGTCTTCCGGGTTGCTGCTGCATTCACCTTATCACCACTCATATTAGATCGTGTTTGTTTACCCACATTGTCATTCTCCTTTCTAACTGGCCTTGAAGTCTCTAATTTCTCAGCCTTCTCCAGCACCTCGCCGAGTGACTCAATCACCTTATTCCTCTCTTCTTCCGCATCTGACCTCTCCCCATCTGACGATTGCCCACCAATTCCTGACTTGTCCCAGGGGACTGAATTAATCCCTAAAATAGTCTCAGAGGACTTCAAAACCGGCCTAGGGGCTGGCTTAAGAACAATCTCCGCATCATCACTGCTAACTTTACTTCTAAGTGTGTTAGAATCTAAGGACGCTCCATTGCCTTGCTCAGCAATGAAATCAGTGGTCGTGGTTGTTGTAAGCGAGTATCTACAGAGCCACTTCTTCGTGCCTCCAAAATTTCGTTTAGATAATGAAACTCTTCTAACTAGTGAATACGATGATTCTGATGAACTGGTTCCGGTTACCCCCGCACTTCCCAAACTAACCAGGGAAGCCATGGAAGGCATTGTGCCAACTAGAACCACCATGGACACCATCTAAACCAAACTAATACCTACGTATTATACATATATAGCATGGCGGCACAAAGTTGAATTACTCATCCCTCTAAAACTCAATGGAAGGAAAATAATTATGATTAGAAACAAAATTTTCAGGTTTCCAAAAAGAAAAATGAATCTTCTAAAGAACTGAAATGAAAGGAAACAAATTTACCTGTGTGGCTAGAAATTGTGATGTTAAAGAAGAAAATTGTAGTGGTGGGAGAAGAGTGGGGATATAATGTGGTGGTGACGGGGAAAGCTTAATTGGCTCCATGGGTGGGTGTGGCTGGTTCTCTGCCTGTCAAATTTTTCTTTCGCGATAAGGCTGTCAAGAAAATTGCCTTTTTTTTTTTTTCTTTTTTTTTTTCTCCCCCTTAAGAAATAAATTTATTTTTATTTTTTGCTTTGGTTTTTTCTCACTTTATTTTGTCATTTGATTCAAAAAAATCATTAAAATTTTAGAAATATTTATGGAAATATAAATTCTAAATTTTTTTAATAAAAATAATCATATGGATTAAAAAGCGTTAAAATAGAAATATATATAAAAAATGTTGTTATTAAAAAACAGAATTTTAGTGTTTTGTGAAATTAATTTTTAATAAAAATTCAAATAATTTTATAAAATGCACATATTATAATTTTGGACTTTAAATTTATGAAAAATAAGCTTTAGCTTGATTGTTATTGTGTTTTACTTATTTATCTATAAAATTATTTTTAAAACTTAAAAGTTGTAGTTAAAAATTAGATCAAACGAGCATTATTAATATTATAATATTTTATTCTACATTATCATTTATTTAAACATATTTTTTGTTTATTTTTAAATAACATAATTAAGTGTATTTTAATTTTACTTTTTATAATTAATACTAATTGAGAATATCTCATGTTTACTCACAATTGTTTGTTAGTGTCTTTATTGATTGCGATCAAATTGTGTGAAGAATTTTCTAAAAATTTTTTTGAGGGAATTTTATATTTAAAAAAAAAATGATGTGATTGCTATATAGCACTCTTTTTTTTTTTAATAATTACTAATATTAAATTTTATATTTAAATTACATATCTAAATCTATATATTATTGATATATTTTATTCACACTAAATTTTGTTAATTCCTTGATAAATTAATAAACTTAAAAATACAAATATGTATTTAAGATATTTTGGTGCTTCAAAATAATTGTGTTTAGACATTTTATATTTATTTAATATATTATATTCATTTTAATGCAAAAGAGTATAAAATTCTAAGATGTCCGTTTAAGTTAAATATATTTTCTTACCTATTACTATCTAATTAAATAATTAATATTTACTTTGTTTTAGAAAACATTGTAAATTTAAATTATATTAAATTCATGTGTATATATTTATTTATTATTGTATTATTTATTAGCATATAAATTTCAATTCATACAAAATTTTGTTTTTTTATTATCCATTTAAGTTACACATATTATTAGTTAATTGAATAGTTAAAATGTCTATTTATTTATAAGAAATTATAAATTCGAATAAATTAATTAGTTTGCTTTTTCATTTTTTTTAAAAAAAATCGATTTAGTTCTTTATGTAAAAATCCTATTCGTATGCGGAAAAAGAAATTGTACTCTTACCCCCGGGTACAGAAACTATAAATTCCATCGCCGGGCATCTAATTCTCTTTCTCTAATCATTTACAGATCTTCTTTCCCCAAAATCTTCTCTTCCTTTTCCTCCGAAAACCTCATAATTCTACCCTCCCTTGACCGCCGGAGTCACAGCCGGTCTTCTGATCTCGAGACCGTCTCAGATCGTCTATTCTCTCTGACGATTCGCGCGCGTTAATCACCTGCAAACAAACGAATTTGCGCCTGATTTCTTTTGCTCCTCCGATTACTAGACGGTAACTCCCTGAGGTAAAAACGTTTTTCTCCTCTTCTGATTCTCTGTCTTTTCACGTCTCTAGCTTTCTACTGTGATGAATCCTTCTTATATTCCCTCAGATCGGAGTTTAATAACATATATCAAGATGTTCAATCGGCTATTCGGGAAACCTAAACAGGAGACAAATGCCTTGGCCACGTTAGACAAGTTAAACGAGGTATGGTACTCGATTCATTTGTTTCTGATTTACTGGATATTGAGTGATTTGTAATGTAACTATCAGCTTCGATGATCTGCCACTGCTTCATGTTCTGCTCATGATACCTGTATCAAGATTACGTTTGTTAGTCTTCTCGAGTATACCTGAATGAAGTCAGGTTGAATAATTATAATTGATTGAGCAGTAAATGTTCCAAATAAATGTAATTATTTGCTTGCTTCTTGTTTTTGAAGTTGGTAGAGTGCTCTTTTTTGCTTTTGGTCCTTTATTAGAATGGAATTTTGTAGGTTCTAAACACTGTCTTCGACATTTTAAATTTTGTCCTTTTTTGGTTCCTGTTCTTTAAAATTTGGTTCAGCTGAATCCATTTTCTTTCTGCTTTCTGATTTCTGTAGACTCTTGAAATGCTAGAGAAAAAGGAGAACGTCCTTCTGAAAAAGGCTGCAACAGAGGTTGAAAGGGCAAAAGAATTCTCAAGGGCAAAAAATAAAAGGGGTATGATGCATATTATGTGTAGAACTTTTTTGGATCTTTATTCTTCTTAGTGAATTGTTATTCTTGATATTACTTACGAAGTATTGCATCCCTCTAATTTTTAAATGGTTTTCATTATTGTGATATATGTTTCAGATCTTCAATCAATTCTTATTCGTTACTTTCTCGTTTGATATGATAGATAAAAGTTATATCAGTAGTAATGGAAGGACTGGAAATTCTTTTCTAATACTTTTCATTACTTTGATATGTTTCACACATTACAACTAATTAATTTCTTCTACATATTAATAAGTAAGAGCTATTTCTGTTAAAGATGAAAGGAAGGGAAGTTCATGTTGGAAATGAACTCCATTCTCCCATTTAATAATTTTTAGAAGCTGTTCCCCATCAATTAATTGCTTTGAAAATGGAGTGGCTCAAATATGTACACCACTACTGGAGTAAAAAAGAAGAAATTAGAGAGATTAGGATGTACTCATGGATCTGTTAGCTACACTTCTTAGTTCTGGAATCTTTAGCGAACATTTGAATCTTTTCTTAGAAAATTTGTGTTTCAAGTTTAGGGTGGTTAATGATTTTTTTCTGGACAGTTTGAAGATGTGCTACAATCTAGATTTTCATAACATGCTTTCTTATGATGTTTCTGCAGCGGCTATACAATGCTTGAAGAGAAAGAGGCTATATGAACAACAAATTGAGCAGCTTGGAAATTTCCAGCTGCGCATTCATGATCAAGTAAGCTTGATATTACACGTACAAATGGTTTTAATATTAAAGAGGAAATTGTACTTGGGGTTTTGACGCTTTGGATTGATCGGAATCGTTTCTCTAAAATCACAGATGATAATGTTAGAAGGTGCTAAAGCAACAACTGAAACTGTTGATGCATTGAGGACTGGAGCAGCTGCCATGAAGGCAATGCAGAAAGCAACGTATGCATTAGTTTTCTTTGTGAGAGAAGTTTAGTAGATTTTAAATATGGAAGTCTTTTCTTCACAAATACTCCTTATAATGTCTTTGTATACAGGAATATTGATGATGTTGACAAAACGATGGATGAGATAAATGAGCAGACGGAGAACATGAAACAGATTCAGGAAGCATTGTCCACTCCGCTTGGAGCTGCAGCTGATTTTGATGAGGTATTATTTTTTACTTTTGCTGCATACAAAATTTTTAGGGACTGCTTGGTTGGCTGAATGTGGCTTTATGAAGCATGAATGCAGTGAATGCTAAGGATGTACTATCACAATGTTTTGTTGATCAATGACCATTATATTACTACCCAATAGCCATTCAGTAGGGTGACTTACTTCTAGTTGAAGAGGAATGACTTACTATTACTTGGAAACAAATAACAACCATTTCATTAGGTCTAGTTCAAGGATATCTTGAATTTCTTTGGTCAAAGCTTGTCTCTTGATAATGACGAGGTTTTAAATGATTTCAAAAATGTTGTTTATAGTTTTTGCAAAATTATAATGGTTTTTAATCATTCTATACAAAATTATTATAATTTCTAAAGAATTGTTTTTATATTCTTATTTAAATGAAATTGCAAATGGGTATCTTGGTTACATTAGATTTATGAGGTTTTTTCACTTTAAGCTTTTTGGTCTTTATAAGCAACTTTTTTGAGTATATCTTTTAGCAATCTCAAATGCTTTTGATGTAATTAGTCTTTTAGTGAAAACTATGATGTGACTGAAAAATCATATAAGTCTTATTTCATATGTACTAAATGATTAATTTCTCTTACTAACTGCCAAATTATAGTCTCTAAGAGATAGCAAGAACATGATATTCTTCTTACATTTTATGTCTGATGCTTTAATCATGTTATAGTTTTTCTAATACATTTATAATTGTAGGATGAGTTAGAAGCAGAGCTTGAAGAACTTGAAGGTGCTGAGTTGGAAGAACAGCTTCTACAGCCGGCAACAACCACCCCTGCAGCTCCAGTGCAGGTGCCTTCTGGCAAGCAACCAGTGCGTCCTGCACCTCAAAAGCGTACTGCCGAGGAGGATGAACTGGCCGCCTTGCAGGCAGAAATGGCACTTTAAGTGGTATATTTCAGTTTAATTCACACGTCTAGATTTGTGTAAAGGCACAGACCATGTATATAGAGATTGCATAAACTGATTGTCCTCCTTATTTTATTAGAGCAATGTTAAACATATGAAAATTTATTCATAAAATGATGTGTTCAGTACTTGTGAACTCAATGTTAATCGAAAGTAATTATTTTCTTTCTACATTTTCTGTTACTAGAATTTCTACGAGAAAGAAAAGTTTAGTCGGATTTGAATAGTTAGCATTTCTCTTGGTATTATGCACTTGAAATTGTTACATATTTTTTCAACATTTTTAAATGTTCTAGATTTTTAATATGTATCTTATATGATTTTCAAATAGAACATATGAGTTTTAACCATAAAAGTACTATCTTAATTTTATGTTATTTGATTTAGTTCCCTAGTATAATAATACTAGAAGCTTTCAACAGAGACGTGAACTGGTAAGTTGGTGAGTTGCTTGACAGAAATTAATGGGGGTAATATTGGATTAACGGTAAACACTAAGGAAGACCGTTCAAGAAAGAAGAAATGAAGTAAACAGGAGAGAACAACTGATCATGAAATAAGAGTACTACATTTACACGTCTCCCATTTGTAACAAATCAATGAATAATATAAGCAAGTACTAGAGCAACCAGCATTAGAACATATGCAACCCCTTGATCAATTGCTATCCCTGCATCAATACATCTATACATATAATATATATTAACAGTTCTTTCAGTTTCTACTGTAATATATATGAGAGCTCAAAATTATTCAATTCTCGTGCAATATAAGGAACAGGATCAGGAGATATATATATATATTCACACACATGCGCGTGCATATATATATATATATATGTTACATATACGTAGACATACCGTAGCTTGAACGGGCAGGAACAGGAGCTGGGATTTGGGCGTTAATGTAAGAAATTAGTAGGCCTAGTGCAAGTAAAGAAGCCACCATAACTCTTTTCATTTCCATTCAGATTCTCTCAAATATTCCTGGACGCTGCACGTTCTTGGGTTTTATCTAGAAGAGAAAGACAGAGAGACATGGAGAACGTATTTTGGCCCGCTGATTGAGGCCACGTGTACGTAAAAGATTGGTTGCACATTGAACTCCAGGTATGGTTGAGCCGTGAACAGTACATTCCTTTCACTTGCCACATGCGTAAAATGATTTAGGCTGGCTGAGGCGGCGGCACAATACGAACAACCTCCAGTTTCCAAATTTGGAATAGCTGATCCTTCTTCGTTTCGTATTTTGGACTCTGATTTCAGCCATATGGGATGCCACTAAATTTATGGTGGAAAATAATTAATGTACAAATTTCAATTTTTTTTAAAAAAATTATTTATTGATTAGAAGTTGTACAAGTCATTTGTAATTTCTATGAGTTAACGAATCCACGTTGATTGATTTTGGAGCCTGAATACCATGATTCAAGATTAATTTGAATACTAAAATTATCAAAGGAAAAAAGAAAATTTATGACTTTGAGTTTGATGGTAGGAAAAAAAAAAATCTATGATTTTTATTTAAAAGTTATCATTTTATTATATTATAATTGATATTATGTTTCATTTAATTAAGAAATATATAATTTTTAATTAAAAAATTTATAAATTATAGCCAAAAGAAAAATTTTCTTTTGCCAGAGTTAATTGTCGTTAATTTACCCAACGACATCACTTGAAATTTTTCCAGACAATTGCTACGAGCTCTCCCACAAACAAAGGGAAAAAAAAGCTCATGTTGGCATGTGACATCAATACAGTACTAGTCCAGTGAGAAATACGACGCACAAGTAAATGAGAAATTAATAGACTCAGCACAGAAACCTTATACAGAGATTCTTTATACACGCTGCATCAGTTAGGATTGCCTTCCAGCTTCTGATCACCCACTGAACTGATTGGAACCAGTGATGACTCTAAATAATCAAAATCCTCAGTTATTCCTATCTGCAGTTGGTTTTTTAAGTACCAAACTATTAGACCAAAAAGATAAACCTTAGAAAAAGCAGTTAGAATAATGAAGAACACATGCTTGGGAGTTGGAACATGCAACTAGACTTGCCAATCCATAAAACTTTTACGGTAGATTTGTTTCTGTGCAATTGTTATATAAGAACAATAAGAAGGAAAAGCTGCCTTGCAGCAGAAACCTAGTCTCGATTTGCCACTATGATTACAAACCTGAGGCACATGCAGCCCTGAAGTAAATGACAAATCCTTGAGTGCTAGGTGACTCCCCAGAAAGAGTAATTTTCAACAGCAATTCAGATGTGTTACCTTTAAGTATTGGATTCAATCAAGTAACGAATGGGCTTCGGGTGCAAACATCATATAAAAGTGAATTAAGACAGAATTATTTTTATATCTTACAAGCTTTTACATGTGCTAATATAAGAAATCATAAATATACCTCATTGTACAAGTGTTCAAGCTGTTCTTTAGCCTGAGGAAAGTTGTTTGAACACCACTGTCGCAGTGTGAAGATGTTATCTGTAAATTTTATCCACAATAACTAAGAAACAAATAGAACGCAAATGGAGCTAAGCAAACAGTTAATAGAAAAAGCATGTGCAGAATAGAAAACCTGTCCATCTATTAGCTGCAGCATGAGCAACTTCAATTGCTTTCTCTGCCAACATTGAAATGTATCATTAGTTTAAATATGCGCCATAAAACATATCAAGCATTCAAATAACACCAATTCTTAAGAAAGTCAGCATTTCTTAACTCATTGCATCAAAGGCAGCAGGATCATTCTCCGTATACTGCCCCATCTCTTCCTGAAAAAGTAGACTGTTGACTGTTATAAAGTTGAATAAACTTTGTATGCTGGCTGATGCAATACAGAAAATCTAGATGCAATCCGACCTTCAATTCATTATGTTTCAGTTCAATAGCTCTTAGCTCAGCTAGGGCCTCCTCTCGTTCATCCTGGTACAAGATCCAAACGATAAAATATTGGGGAAAAGAGAGGCAAAAAGATCATTGGAGAAGAATCTCAACAGTTTGCTTTAGCAAATTATTCAGATAACAAAGCAAGTTTAACAAAATATACTAACTGATTCTTCTCGTCCCTTCTTTAGTGCATCATTCTGATTAACAAGTTCCATCAATCGCTTCTTACTGCTTTGTAGATCAGATTCAAGTTTCCGGTACACATTTCTCAACTGTTCAAGGATTATTAAGATGAAAATAATTTTGAGAATAATTTCAACATAGAAAAAAAACCAGACCAGCAATTTCATATTAAAGGAAAGACATAAAAAAGGTGCACCTGGTTGCCAGCACAGCTAGGAAGGCTCCAAAAGTATACCTGGAATTTCCAAACTAGAGCTATTATTTGCCTATTTAGATATCAGTATACCAGCATGATGTAGAAGAACCTCTAGTAGGCTTGGAGAGTCGTCAAGGAAAATAAAATCAGCAAACTTCAAAGATTCAGGAAGAAGATTTTTCCACAGCAATGAAATAAATTAAGGTCACATGCATGAATTTTCTACTCACTGAAGTTCCTATTTTGTCTTTTGAAACAAGGTCATCATCCACTAGACTTTGGAGGACATCCTTCACAGACTGGGTAATTACACCTCTTTTGGGTCCCAGCTTCTCAAGCTCCTTGAGCTGAAACCATTTTGACGAACCATAGCACAATTAACTTGCAATCTCATATGAAACAGATCATAAATAAAACTCATTCAAGCATTGCTCTAAGAGTGCCGTAAGACACAAAATAAAAAATTGAGGTAGCTATTCTGTCCATCTAACATAAAAGTCATCAGATTTCATGTTCACAAACTGAGGAAAAATAAAGGGATATTTTTAGGATGGTAAAACTAAAAACTCATCAAAAGTCAAACTTGTATTTTCAATTACTCATGATGCGTAATGTAATATCCTTCTACAAACAAATGATTTTCAAAAGCATACATTGCTTAAAAGATGTGCTCAAAATCATTAGTGGGATTTAACTTAGCCAGTTCTTATCAAAGATAGGCAGTTACATGTTTGAAAGAAAGTAGTAGTTATAAAAAATAAGTATTCATATATTATAAAAAGATTGATTATGTACTTGTTACAACATTTTATTACTTACATTATATAGAGCTAATTTTAGGATAAAATCAATATCTTAATTAAGTAAATCAATCAAATAAAAAAAAGTACAATTTTGCTCCCCATATTTCGGCTTGGTTGCAGATTAATTTCTATTTTCTTGTGACTTTTCAGCATATTCTAGTTTGGTTTTTGGTAATTTCTTCATAAAGTTATTAGCTTTTAAATGATATATACATTTGTCTAGATATCAAGGACGAACAATTCATAATTAGGAAAAAAGTCAAAACTTACAAGATAATAACTTAAAAACTAAGAAGTTTATGCACAAAGGCTCAACACAGATACAGAAATATTATTGAAAAAGCACAAAAATTGAATTGTAATTAAGTCAAAATATAGGAGGTAAAACTATGATTTGCCAAAAATATGATACTTATTTCTATGGCCTTAATTTCACTTTCAAAAATCTAATAAGAATCCTGATTTTTATATTATCATACAAAGACATGGGAGCTGGATGCTTAGAACTGCTTATAAGCAACAAATAAGCAAAATTTCAAATAACCTCCTAAAAAAGTAAAAAGTATCAGGCAAGGTCAACAATAAAAAAGGTCTGCTGTATATCATAACCAGTTACTTAAGAAATTAGAAACATAGTATAGGTTATTATTGAAACAAAGTAAGATCAGTAGAAGTCATTCCCAACAAATCGAAAGGATACATTGAAAGGTAGTTTAAGGAAAAAAATACTAATGTTCATTCCGAGGTTAGGTTAATATAATTGCTGAATGAAACTAACTAATGATAGCAAAAATGCCTGATAAAGACATGAGCAAATTGTATATAATGCCCATAATTCAAAGAAGTGAACCAGAATAATGAAAATAACTTTCAAAATCAGCATCTGAAAATAACAATAACCAAAATGACTTCATAAGAAAGAGAAGGGCTCGAGTGTTCAACCTACAATTACAGGAATTTCCAAGGCTGGCAACTGTGCCAGGTCTAACTGGATTGCTTCTCAAACAATGGTTGAATGGAAGCATTAAGCTACATAGTGCATAACTTCTGTCCTCTTCTGTTTTTAAGCTACTTCTTGGAATTGCAATAATGTTAAGACAAATGATAATTCTAATCAACTAATCAAGAACTAAATATATGCTAAGTACGAATGCTAAACATGCTCTAACTAGTCACTGCAACTTGCAATAATTATTTTAAACAGTAACAAAACTAGAAGCGTAGGAGTCCTGCATATTGGTATAACTTTTTGAAGCAATTGATTGAAGAAGCAGAGAAAATCGTTAAAAGACATGTTTTAATCTAAAATCACCCGTTTTCAGCATGCTATACTCACAAGGAAGAAGTTCTGTGACTCATAAAATATCTGAAGAAGCTTCTCACGCTTTTCTTCCAATGAAAGACCTCGTTTCTTAGACTGCATCACAAACAAATAAACAATCATTAAACCTTCCAAGAAAATGCCAATGTGCGCTCCTCTTAGCAAAAGTGCTGCTAGGGCATAAATGACTATGAATATAACATAAAAACTGCTATTGTGACTGTTTTCATTGATTCATGAAAAAAAAGTCGGTTAGATGATTAACTTTATTAGCTACACAAAGATATACCAAATTCAATATTGCGTGAGTAGATAAATTAATTGAACAGTTAATGAGCAAGAAAAAAGTAAATGATATAAGAATATTCGATGCTACTTTGTTTACTTCCAAATGAGGGGCGTGTCTTTGATTCACTGTAAAAAAGGTTCTGAAAAATACAGGTACAATCTATCTATCAAACCCTACACCTGAATCTCATCAATTTCTAAGCAATCCAGCTTTGATAGTAAGTAGGTATGATTTTTTTTTTTAAAAAAAAAACTAAAATAACCTGTACCCTTACGTGGAAAGACCCAAATTACTAATATTTTTAATCTTGTTTTCACACACACGTCTTAACATTCAAAACATGGCGGCTGAACTCTCCGATCTCCCACATTTCATATTGATTCTTATTTTCTTTTTTCTTTGAACCTTAAGAAACATACATCAGACCTGAAAATTTTAAGTTCATGAAAGGATCATCTCGAAAAGCCCTGCAATCAATAAGCAAGAACAATCTCATGTTTCTAAAGCTTCTTCCCATTCAAATCAAGTATTTGCTAACTGCTGCCCAACATCTAAGCAAGCATCAATTGGAGTAACTCTCTAGATCTAAAGGCATTCAAACATGCATCCATGCCCGATGGATTAAACATCTACCTCTATTTGGCAGCTAGAAACATGAATAATACGATCAGAGAAGTTATTATTTAAAAGAATTAAACAGACGTATCTCGTTCCCCCAATTTGAAAGCAATGCAAATTTTCAGATTCAACCCTCAGAAATTCGGAACACCAAACAGAACAGCGACTTAGAGCATACAACGACCAATGATTGAACTCTGTTAGATAGGAGTCTCAGCTCAAAATACGCACAAAGAACCCCGAATTTCATGCTTGCATTCAACTAATTACTAAAAATCACGAGTTATAGTGGATAAATAACAGAGAGGACAGGAGAGTTTAGAGAGACTGATTTACCATCGAGACGCTCTCTTTGCTGAAAGAAGAAAACGAAAGGCAAATGGCAAATGGACAGTTTTCTTTTCTTGACTCCGAGCGAAGACGAAGAGTGTAGAAGAAGGCCTGCAAATAAGGGGGGCAAGGTTTGGCGGGAACCTTTTGGAGATTGTATCCTTGGAAAATGTCAGATTGACCAATGGCTGAACGGTGGACGAATTGTTGGTATCTAAAATTTGGTATAAATTGAAATTGACTAATTGTTGGATTAGAGATAATATAATACTCATTAATTAAAATAATAATTATTATTAATTTTAAACAAAAGATTACAACTATAAAATTATAATTAAATATAAATAAAAATTATAAATGGTTATTAACTAAATATAATTAAAAAAAAATAATAAATACTATCATTAAATATTATGATTTAATGTAATAACAGTAAATTTTATATCTTTAGAGATGATAAATAAATTTAATTTGTTCATGATTCTATATTAAAACTAAATTTATCAATTATTTAAATAAATTATGTAATTATATCAATTGAAAATCAAATTTAATTTATTCTCAAATAAAAAAATCACACTTAAATTGTTTAGTCCCTTACACTGTACCTTAATTAAGAAAAACTAATTAAGTCATATTGTTCATTTCATTCATAATATTATAATTTGACGAGATAAAATTTAAACGAATCATTATAATATTATAAATATTAATAAATTAAGTTATAAATTAAAAATATAAGCTAATTTATAATATATATACAAAATAACAAATTTTAAGTTCTAAAATTTTATGCTAAATTAGTCTAGTAATTTGGTCAAAAATTGGGTTTGAAAACGTGACTACGTGGCAGTACGTTGAGGGTAAAATTGTAAAATTACTATACAGAAGGAGGCATTCCACATAATTGAATAAAATATAAAAAGCCAGAAAGGGAAAAACGAGTGAGTAATTTTAGGCTGATTTGCACAATTCCACAGTGGAGAGAAACTAAGCTCAACGAGGGGGAACAGCGTGGGAGAAGAAGAAGAAGAAGAAGAAAAGAAGAAGAAGAAGAAGGATGAAAGAAGAGGACATAAGCTCCCAAAATACAAACATTAACAACACCAACAATAATTCTAGCGATCAATTGCTGCGCGTTAGATCATATTCTCCACCTCATACTCCTGCTGCGAGGTATTCTCTGCGCATTTGTTTCGTCTTTTAGGGCTCGCTTTGTGCTTCAGCAAGGACATTCATTTCTTTATCCGAGCTTTAGATAAGTAATCGCATTTAATTTTCCTTTTGCGTGGAATGATTTCCGGAACATTAACGCTTTGTTGGTTTCTCTAGGGTTCTTTGTTATTGCGAATTTTTTTTTTTGGGGAAAAGATGTGAAGTGTCATTTCACGTGATTTAAATTGCGAGGGAGTACGACGCACTTATGTAATTTGACTACGTTTTTATTATTTTTTCTTTACTGAGGAAAAATCTCAATTTTGTTATTTGGCATTAGGAATCTGCTAGAATTTTTGAATTGGGACATACAGCTCTTCTGTTTGAATTTCAGTTTAGTGCGAAACTATAATTAGGGATTAGTTGTTGCTACGTGTTTGTTTTTAGTTCGTGCTAGCCTTATTTGGAATTAATCAGGTTTTGCAACTTACCAGTTCTGCAGGGGCATCTTCTCCTGCTGTTCCGGTTAATGTGGGCAGTGTGGAATGGTCAGGTCATGGACATGGGTTATCCCGACCTTCATGTAGGCCCTGGGACAGAGGAGATTTACTCAGGCGTCTTGCTACATTCAAGCCTGTAAATTGGTTTGGGAAGCCTAAGGTATTATAGTTCATCTCTCCTTTTATTTTAAAAATGAATCTTTTTCTCCTTCATGACCAGTATATTTGTCTATTAACGAGAATGGACGTCTGATTTGTCTGTGCAGTTTTTGATTTAGATATTTAATGTGTTTTAGGTAATTCAAAACAGCCTGGGATGAATCATTTTAAGCATATTGCTCTATATTGCCTTTATATGGAACAGTACTTACCTTACTGGAGATATTCCAGCAACAGATGTAGAAAGCTTGAGTTTGACATTATTTTTCATATATGAAGTGTCAATTATTTGACCTTTTATTTCTAATTTGATTTTCAGTCCCGCTTATCTTTTCTCATGCAATGTTTTGTCAGTTTCCACTTGATTGAGATTGTTGACTTGAGCTTTTTCCACATTTTATTTGCAATATTCTGCTTTCATGTCTTATGCAGGCTGCTAGTTCATTGGCCTGTGCTCAGAGGGGTTGGGTCAATGTTGATGTAGATAAAATCGAGTGCGAATGCTGTGGGGCAAGCTTACAATTTGGTTCACCAGCTTCTATGATTCTCTCGGAAGGTCAATTCTCACTCATACTGTAGCTTATATATTGACTTTTGGATTACCTTTGTTAATGCCCTTGCTTCAATCAAGTTGATAAGAAGCTTTTCAGTTATACAGTGAAGAGATAGGTGATAAAAGACCATATAAAGCTGCGTCAAATTGGAATTTTAACAGAACCCAAGTGCAAAATTCTTGAGTATCATCTTATGATTCATTCAAGTTTAATGTTCCTCTTATCCTGTCATGATTCCGAGAATGACGAGGACTAGATGTAATGTTGTCATTAGCATCAGGGTACCTCATCAGCATTGCTGTTACATACCATTTCCAAAATAAAATTAAAGATCTGTAAGCTGAATACCTCATCAGCATTGGTGTTAAATACCATTTTTATGTGATGTGTAATTCAATTTATACTCGGTATATGGTTACAGTAACAGTGTTATCTCATTTATTCATGTCTAGCATATTATCATTCAATCTGTGATTCTTCCTCACTTTAATTGTATGCTGGTAATAGCTGATAGCAATGGTGAAGAATTTGCCAAACAGCTTGATGGAGGGCATCAAACTTCTTGTTCTTGGAAAGGAAATAGCTGTCCAGAATGCTTGGTGCAATTCCCTCCTACTCCTCCATCAGCCTTAATAGGGGGATACAAGGATCGATGTGACGGACTTCTGCAATTTTACTCTCTACCAGTTATATCTGCATCTGCAATTGAACAGATGCGAATTTCTAGGGGTCCCATAATTGACCGCCTTTTGGCTCAAACCCAAGTTTACACACCTGGAGAATTGGGTTATAAAATGGAGAATATTTCTGGAATTGAAGCTTCTAGAGAAGAGGTGTTCAACATTTACTCTCGTGTAAGATCTTAAGAAATTCCTCATACATGTTACTAATTTGTACCTTACAGGATTTGAACTTCCTAGTGGTATGATATGTATTCTCAATTCATTTTCCTCATCTGTAGGCCCAAAAGCTGATAAGCCTATGTGGGTGGGAACCTAGGTGGCTTCCAAATGTTCAAGACTGTGAAGAGCATTCTGCTCAATCAGCTAGGAATGGCTGTTCTTCTGGTCCATCTAGAAACCGTGGTCATCTACAGGATGCTGGT